CACATATAAATACATATATATATATACAATTATATACACATATAATATGTATATATATATATATATATATATATAAATATGTGTATATCCCATGATACCGCCCTAAATAGCCACAGCATCGTTGGTAGACCACCCGTCCTCCACTTGCTGCGGCAGCACAGGTGGACGGCCGTGGCCTTCCTCAGGCCTAAGGCGAAGGTGCGCACGGGAAAATCATGGGAATGGTATGGTTTTACAGGTTTACCCTCTGGTATGGAACACCACCTTGTATGGAACTTAGGGCCAACATATGGCTAGCTTAGTCCGATATGTGAGGGTATCACGGGAATAGAATGGATTTATAACTTGCCATACCCTCTGGTAACTTAACTATACGAGCCCCGGCGTGATCCTACACCATTTATTAGATCTTGCGCCGCCAGCCGCATGGCACACCGCTTACGCCAGACATCAATAATCTTCCGCCAGGTGGAAATCTTATTGGCACACCGACGGTCAAAGCGGAATAATTCTGAAGCAGGCAACTCAAATATATCTATTTACTATGCGTTTAATGTACACTTGTTCACCAAAAGTTGACAACCATATGCATGTTTGAACAGTCAGAACTATCATCCTCCGCATGGCACACCAAGTTTCATGGAATTTCCAACATACAAACTTGGATGTGATCAACGTTACATTTCTATGGTTTCAATGATAAATTCTACTTCATGCCAATCAACCCTTTCATCCACTTCCCCATGGCACACCGCTGATCGGATTGACTTTCTTTTTTCAGGTCATCTTCTTATGCTTTTGGTTTCTTCCGGACAGCTTCCAGCCCTGTCACAAATTTCTTGGTTCTCTGCCCAAAAACCACGCCTTGCCCAGAAGCAGCAGCACAAGCAACAACAGTAGCAGCAGCAGCAGACCAAGCAGCAGACCATTGCAAAGCCTTTCCAAAACCTCTCCGGGCTGGGTTTTGACTGGCTGCAATTTTAACGAGGTCCGAATCGAACGAGGTGCGAACGAGGTCCGAACGAGGTCCGAAATCAAATTTTGGGAGACTGGCCCCCTAAGTTTCCGGACAAACTCTTTGGTAGCCACACGCTTTTGCATTCTTTTCAGAACAGCAAAACTCAAGAGCCACGACTTTCACCTTTGGGCGTATAGTGGGTAAACCCACAAAGATATGACAGGTAAGCATCGTGTGCCTATGCGAAGTGCCAAAAAATATATCAGTAAGTTAAAGTCATAGGCACCGCCCATGTGGGCCTTTCCCCATAGGCACACCACGATTTGGCACAAGATCTTGTCATCGGCACTTGTTACAACATCGACCCAGTAGCTATTGAAAATGGCCATAGAAATAGTGGATTTACCCATGAATAGCATGGTGATTCTCCATAGTTATGTAAACGTTTACCAGAGGGTAACAGGGATCACGGGATAATTCATTGGGATATACCATAGCGGTGGAAAACGATCACCCGAAGATCTGCTGACTCGGCCGCACTGCTGGAAAGATTCGGGCCCGCGGCTTGGTTAACACCGTCTTTAAATCGGGAGTTCACTCTCAAGGCAAAATAGTGTCCTTTCTTAACTCTGGCATCTTTGCAGTGGTGAGTAGCGTGAAGGCAGCGGAGAACAAATCCAACAGTGGGTCCAACCATAGCTGTCCAGATGTCTTCATCCACTTCAGTTTGCTCAAGCCTTTTTCGGCTAGAGAGATCATCCAAAAGCCTTGGCGAACTTCTCTTTTGCTTGCAAGAAGTCTTGGTGTTGGAATCATTTTATGGGATATTTTTTGGGCCCCAAGGCTTTGGGGCTGCTGTTCTTGGGGCAGCAGGCTGCGCTTTCTTCGCCAGCTCCTGCCGCCGCGTCTGGATGTAGTCTATCTCCTTGGTGTATGCTAGTGCTGTCGTTGCCCAACGCTGTGGGCAGAGTGGAGCGAATGCTCTCATTCTCCAGGACATCAAGACAACAAAAATGGAAGATGGAGGTTTAACGATCAAATATGGGGGAACACATGATAAAACATGGAGATTTCAGCATCACATGACATATGGATTCCACCAACATGGAGGACGATCAAAGACCATGGATATTTTACCATCAAACATACGGAAATGAATGGACAATTGTATAGCTGGTTTGTCGATAGCTAAGTGGTACAGTGAATGCACGATCTATGGTTGGTGGAAACTATAAGTGCTAAAAGGGTCTGATAAAAAACCAACTTATAGCTGGGATATTTCTGGGCTAAAGAAACATCAACTCTAGCTGCCCTAGAAAAATGTCCACTTGCCCAAAAATATGTCCTACTTGGAGGATCATAAGACTTAGTAAGTGGTTAGAACGAATTATACATGGGACTTACAAACTAGGCTTACTAGCTAGGCTTACTTATACATAGGATCCTCTAGGTAGATGATCCTATGTAGACTTAGAAAATCGAGTTTTAAGCCATTTATTACATGGGATACTCTCACGAATTGAAACGACGAATCCGATCTGTGGGAAGCTCCAAGTCGTGGCTTTTTCCAGGCCAGGAATTACAGTTGGTTTTTAACCCCCAATAACTACTTGTTGGTGGTTTTAACCATCCGGAAAAATATGAAAGTCAATGGGAAGGATTATCCCATATATTATGGGAAAATTAAAAAAAGTTTGAAACCACCAGCCAGACTAAAGATATATACCATGAATCCTACGAAACGCGCAGTGATTTTTCCCACCTTGACGATCACTGGGCACCCAGCGGGCAGGATGGACTGGATGGGACGCGGCTCTCCAACACAAACTCCGAGGAGTCTCGGCGCCTTCAGCGGAGGGATCTTCTTTGGCGCCAGGGATGGGGATTTGGTGGTTTTTTGGGTTGGTTTATCATGGTTTATGGGAATCGTATGGTGGGCTTATGGGAATCTTGTGGCGGTTTCTATGGGGTATAGATAGACAAAACTGATTACAAATGGATATATATATAATGGGATATCATTTGATACAATGTTTTGGGCGTGTGTGCAATGGTTGCTTGTGCATTTACCGCAAACACCCCTGGCGGTGGGGCCCGGAAGCCAAGTGAAAAGTCAAGTTCATGGGAACTTTATGGGAGATACATGAGTTTAACATGATTTAATGGGATTGGGATATAAATAAATAAATTATATAAAAAATAAATATGTATATTAAAATATATATTCATGAGTTGACTCTTGCCTAATAGCTGTAACAGCAATCACCACTTAGACCATGGTTTTTGCACGACGATCTAGACCACGTTTTTTTGCACGAAAGACAGCACCAAAAAACAGTTTTTCGTACGAAGGACTGTACCAAAAAGCAGTGCCTGGCGTAAACAAATCAGAGAAGTGGTATTTTTTCACAAACCAGTTGCAGGAATTATTTCATCCCATGGCCATAATTGGCTATAATAATTACATACATACATACATACATACATACATCCATACATACATACATAAATACATACATACATACATAAATACATACATACATACAGACTGACATGACATGACATGACATGACATGACATGACATGACATGACATGACATGACATGACATGACATGACATGACATACATACATACATACAGACATACATACATGCATACAGACAGACATACATACAGACATACATTACATACTTACATACTTACTTACTTACTTACTTACTTCCATGCTTACATTTATACATGCATACATACATACATACATGCATACATGCATACATACATTACATTACATTACATTGCATTACATTGCATTACATTACATTACGTTGCATTACATTACATTACATTACATTTACATTACATTACATTACAAAACATTACATTACATTACATAACATTACACTACATTACATTACATTACATACATACACACATACATACTTTACATACATACTTTACATACATACTTTATTTACACACAAGCATACAAACATACAAACATACAAACATACATACATACATACATTACATACATCATACATTACATACATTACATACATTACATACATTACATACATTACATACATTACATACATTACATACATTACATACATTACATACAGTACATACATTACATACATTACATACATTACATACATTACATACATTACATACATTACATACATTACATACATTACATACATTACATACATTACATACATTACATACATACATGCATACATGCATACATGCATACATGCATACATGCATTACATACATGCATACATGCATACATGCATACATGCATACATGCATACATGCATACATACATACATACATACATCCATGCATGCATGCATGCATGCATACATACATACATTCATTACATACATTACATACATTACATACATTACATACATTACATGCATACCATACATACATTACATTACATTACATTACACTACATAACATAACATTACATTACATTACATAACATTACACTACATTACATTACATTACATACATACATACATTCATTACATAGATACATACATACGTACGTACGTACGTACATACATACATACATACATACATTACATACATACATACATTACATAGATACATACATACGTACGTACGTACGTACATACATACATACATACATACATACATACATTACATACATTACATACATACATACATACATACATTGCATTGCATTGCATTACGTTACATTACATTACATTACATTACATACATACATACATACATTACATACATACATACATACATACATACATATATATATATATGGGTAAATTATAATTTTTCACTTCCCTGAATTTTGCAGCCATTTGGGGATGATTCCCCTATAAAAACCATGATTCCAGCGAGGGAGAACAGTGAGGTCGCTATAATTTACCCAGATATATAGTTACTCTACAGTTATAGCCCTCAGTTATGGCCATGGGATGAAATCAATCCTACAACTGGTTTTCAGTTGGCCAGTTATAACTGGCTATAATATATATATATATATGTATGTATATATATATATACTGTATACATAGAGCCACTGATCCTGTCTCCTTGCAGCGGCACCTGTACAAGGATGAGGCCGGTGAACCAGATCGATTGGAGGCCTCAAAGGAGCGGCAGAGCAGACGAGACGCGGGAATCCCAAGGTTGCGCAATCAATTGGCTACCCGTTATCTACCTGTTTGCTATGGAAACTTGTTCATTTATAGTTTATTTATGATCAGTTACCTACTGAACATGGTGATTTTCCATAGCTGCGTTCAATTGACAGAGGGTACATCAGGAAAAAAACATCGGAAATGGGGGAGATTAGATGTGGTAATGTGAAACCACATGATGACGAAAGTGAAATTGGGCAATCTGGGAAATTGGGAAATCCCACGCTTCAGGAAACAACATCCAGTTTGATGGAAAAACTGGATTCACAAAAAGATCCCATTCCCCGCTTTGGAAAATCACTAGAAACAACAACTTCATGCGAAACAACTGTTCGATGCAAACAACTTAAGATGTAGCTCGAACAAATGTGCCATGCATCTTTTTCAAAAGAAACAACGTGGCGAATGCCCCTCCGGAATCGGGTTCCGTTATACCCAGGCAAGTCCAGCATCTATCAAGTACATCCCCATCTTTATGATAGTGAACACTAACAAAACTGATGGTTAAATCCCATTCAAATCCCATTCAACCGAGAACCCAAACGTTGTCAGGAATGAAGAGGGACATGTTCAATCGACCTGCGCGCCCAGTCATGGTGCCACGATGTGCCAAAGTCGAACTATGGAATCAATGGCGTATGGTCATCCCATCATTCTCAAGAAATGAGCATCATACATCAGAATCGGTACCCTTCGGTAACCTCACGTAGCTATTGAAAAAATCCCTGGTCGATCCCATCAAAACTGGTGATGTTCCATAGCTATGGTAGTTGACCAAAGCGCATATTAAGCGTTATCATTTGAAGGATGATCATTCTCCAGTAAATACATGTGTTTAATCCGACTTTTGACACGGGGCTTGCGGAGTCAAAGTCCACAGTCATCCAACCCCAGGCCAAGGTGCCCCTAAAATTGGGTGGTTAATACATGTTAGTACCACAACAGACCTGGGTGGTACTGTACTCATTGATTTTTGATGGATTCACTATGGTTTTCAAAACTCATTGATTCACATTTTTGATACGATTACTGGTTGATTGTTTCAACCAGTCTGAAAAAAATAGTCAGTTGGGGCTATTCTTCCCTATATGGAAAAATAAAACATGTTCCAAACCACTAAGCAGGATTATTTCCATCATGCTACTCACAATATGTCAAACTCATTGGTTCACTATGTTTGATCCATCCCCAGCTGGTTGCGAAGAAAAAACACATATCGTCACTAGGAAAGCGTAAGTGCTTGTTTTTTGAAGATGAAATAACCAAAGACCAAAGGTGGGTCTGTAAACTAACAAACATAACTAAATTTGAAAAAAGGAAGAGATATCCACCATAAATCCCCTATAGATTTCTAATTATAAGTGATAACTAGGAGGTACTTCTGTGTAAATGTCCACTTGCCGCCATTTTTGATGGTTAAATCATACTAAATCACCATCCTTCATAGTTGGCTATATCAGGTGTTATAACTCATTATCTTTCACTATTATAATCGTTGTTATAGTCTACGTAATTTCATCCCACTAATAACTGTTTCTTATTCAATCCCAATATATAATTTATATCTCAGGGTTCTTTTTTTCCACGATTCTACGGTTCTTTATTATCCCAACGGTTCATTCAATTTGTTGTGGAAGCTCGTACAGTAAAGTCACATTGGAATAACATTGTCTAGATGAAGCAAATGCAAACAAGACACGTGGAGAGGTATTCCCCCTCCAGCGACCGGACATATCTTAGCAGCTGTAACCCGATGAACTCTTTGAATTCACCGAAGTTGACCGTGATGCGGCCCACTATCTCTTGCATGCACTGAGACCAGCCTATAAGGCCTTGCATAAAGGCCCAGGCAGTGCTGACATATGTGCGCCAGTCGTTGCTCGATGATTGGAGGATCACAACCTTGACTGGCTCCAACTGAACCACGTATGCTTCCCTTCCATTGGTCTCCCAAGTATAATGTATGGGATCTCCCCTCCAATGACATCGTCAATCACTTTGGAACTCAACCGAAATGAGAGGCTAGAGTCATATTCACCAAGCACGCACGTTGAAGGCAAGACATCATCAGGAGGTACATCAATGGGAAGTCCCTGTTCAAATATTAAACACTCCCTCAGAAACCATGATTCAATAGGGAAATTCCACATTCCATTGGGACCATTTGGGGGTTGTTTAATATTAGGGGGAAGGGATTATTATAATCCACCTTGCAACCGTAGCTGCGTTCTTTGAGATCCTCCGGTCGACGGACTTCAACCGACCCGCACCTACGGGACCGCCCGGGCTGGACGCTTTCGAAGGCGACCTGGTCCGCTGGGTTTGTAGTAACCGTTAGTAACACCCAAAGAGATGCATTAAAGCAGGGCTATCTGACTAGGGTTATTGAAAAAGTTCACCTACTATGTGTACATTTATCCCAATTGTAGGATTTGAAGGTTCTACGAGTATTTTTTTGCGGGGTTGCTGATGTACTTGGATCCATATATAACGGGAAACACATATGTATATGTACACTTAACCATAGTTAGCCTAGCCATAAGCCAGCTGCAAAGTGGGAGCCCAGTTGTTACAACTTGATTGTCATAAAATGTTATAAGCTGTTGCTATAGACATCCCGAAACCATCATAATCCCGAGTTATTTCGGAAAATTAGATATCAGTCTGATCCACTGGATCTTCTCCAACCGATCCCGAAAATCCCGACACCCGTCCAAAGGTTTTTGGTCTTTGCCATGTTGTTTCCCAAAGATCCAAGTAATTTCGGAAGACGTGGGTTTCATGAGTAAATTTGAGGTATGGTCATCCCACCATCAGTGGAGATTGCTTACCATCCTGGGTAAAGGAAACCCTGCCAAATCCTGGGTGTCTTACCAAGGACCAAAAGAGGACTCATTTGGCATGGTGCTGTTACAAAAAAACATACATTTGGGGAGTCAATCATTTCTAGCAGTCATGTTGCAAAAATAATCGAACATACCCTTTTTTCCATCTTTTTCAATGGAAGCCTTAAGTCCTTAAGTGCAAGGCTGTATATATCTGGTGCTTTTCACCTCTTTGCTTGTCACACCCATATTCGTTGATGAAATCCCGACCACGATCATAGGAACCCATCCACAAGCTCTTCATTTAGTATGTTCTTTGTGAAATGTGCACCCTAAACAGAACCTGCAGAAATCTATGGAAAACTATGGAAAGCTAAATCCTACTAAAAAAAACTAATCAAAACTAAACATGTCCAGCCTATCCCACAACCCCAAAGCAAACACCCTGGTCTGCAGCAGCCACTTCATTTTCAATCCACACCCCTCCAATGGATCAAGTCCACAGGCTGCCATCATCGATCTTCCACCTGTCAGGTTGGCACCCATGGATGGGAGTGGCAACTGCACATCAAAGACCATGACAAGACAACCATGTACCTGTACCTCAAAATTCATCTTACCTCAGACCCCTTCCCATCTCCAGCAGCCAACCCCTCTCACTCACTCCATCTAGGTGAAACTCATTCACCCCTCACCAGTGCCAATCCTGCTCAGCCCATAAGCCAGGCCAGGCTCGTCACTTCAAACTCAAATCTCAAGCTTCTGTGGGAAGGGTGGTTTGAATATTATCCTGGGATAAAAAAATGTTGTAGATTGATGAGTATTTGGGGTCGGAGTAGCTATGGCAAACAAATACATCAAACCACCCTTCCATGCAAAACATCCACCAGCACTCAAAGACTCAAACCACAATCACAGCAGTGCAGTGCAGTTCAGTTCATGGTGATCTTGCAGGAGCTCTGCATGTGCACAAGTTTTTTGGCCTAGTGTTTATTATGCATGCTGTGTAGGCGTATGCGCCTGTTGGTGTATTAAAGTATAAAAAAAGGAAACAAACACCCCCCAACAGAGGGAAACAGCACTTGTGGCAACTCCCCCTTCAAGTGAAACAACTGCAGGAGTATTTACAAAGAGAAAGGAGGATAATGTACAAAGACCTATATACACAACAGCACCAGAGCCACACCCCAACAGTGAGACAAGGTAGGTAGCACCACAGCCACCACTTGGGCAGCACCAGGGCCAACCACCAACAAAGATAGCCACCAGGGCCACACAGGGAGGGAAGGGCAGGAAATACAGCAAAAACACCATCACCCAACCAGCCCCCACCCCCAAAGAAAGCAAACATAACATAACATGTTTTTTTATGTGTATATTGTGTGGTTGATTATCTATTTATGCAGACATGTATGTGCTGTACCTATGTGCACATCCAATGTGTGTGTGTGGGCTTGAGCCAAGGGAGGGACAGTGGAAAGCAATTTGGGCACAAACAGGCCATGCAGCCAGTCACAGTGTGTGATGGTCATGTTGTTGTGCCCAAGTGCACAGGCACAGAGGGCCAGTGCAAAGGAAGGTTGGGCACAGGCAGGCCATGCACCCAGTCACAGTGTGTGATGGTCATGTTGTTGTGCCCAAGTGCACAGGCACAAAGGGCCAGTGCAAAGGAAGGTTGGGCACAGGCAGGCATGCACCCAGTCACAGTGTGTGATGGTCATGTTGTTGTGCCCAAGTGCACAGGCACAGATGGCCAGTGCAAAGCAAGGTTGGGCACAGGCAGGCCCTGCACCCAGTCACAGTGTGTGATGGTCATGTTGTTGTGCCCAAGTGCACAGGCACAGAGGGCCAGTGCAAAGGAAGGTTGGGCACAGGCAGGCCATGCACCCAGTCACAGTGTGTGATGGTCATGTTGTTGTGCCCAAGTGCACAGGCACAGATGGCCAGTGCAAAGCAAGGTTGGGCACAGGCAGGCCCTGCAGCCAGTCACAGTGTGTGATGGTCATGTTGTTGTGCCCAAGTGCACAGGCACAGAGGGCCAGTGCAAAGCAAGGTTGGGCACAGGCAGGCATGCACCCAGTCACAGTGTGTGATGGTCATGTTGTTGTGCCCAAGTGCACAGGCACAGAGGGCAAGTGCAAAGGAAGGTTGGGCACAGGCAGGCCATGCACCCAGTCACAGTGTGTGATGGTCATGTTGTTGTGCCCAAGTGCACAGGCACAAAGGGCAAGTGCAAAGGAAGGTTGGGCACAGGCAGGCCATGCACCCAGTCACAGTGTGTGATGGTCATGTTGTTGTGCCCAAGTGCACAGGCACAGAGGGGCAGTGCAAAGCAAGGTTGGGCACAGGCAGGCCATGCACCCAGTCACAGTGTGTGATGGTCATGTTGTTGTGCCCAAGTGCACAAGCACAGAGGGGCAGTGCAAAGCAAGGTTGGGCACAGCCATGGCAGACCACAAGACCCCACAAACCCAGTGCGCACATAGGGGGGCATGTGTGTAGGCACACTAAAGCTCCTCAGCCACCAGAGAGAGAGATATATATATATATAGATATATTCCCAGAAATCTTGTGCACATGCATCAACACAATGAACAGTGTCTCTTGTGCATCAAGACCTGCTTTTCCGATGGCCTGACCATGCTCAATTCTTGTGAAACCTAATACCTCTTTGCTGCCCCCATAGATTTTATGTGGGGTTCCAGCTGCTGATAGATCTCAAGAGGGATCTTTCCAGGGACCTGCTCTGGCTGCCCAGGTTCCAAAGGCAGCTTGTCCCTCATCACATGCCACTTTCTCCAATTAAACTCATGGACAGATGCCAGGCAGTCTTTCCAAGAAGCCTTGCCACCAAAGTAGCTGCTCTGGGTCTTCTGCTTCATCCTCCCTGTCAAGCTTGCAGAATCATGGGGGAATGAAGAGGTGAACCTGTGGTCCTGCCAAGAGACGCCGAAGGTACACCCTGGTGGTGCAATTTGCCTTAAGATCTCAACAGGTGATCTCCTGGGTGTTTCTCTGGTCCTTGGTTCTGCCTTTGGCTGTGCCTCTGGGGCTTGCTTTGGGGCAGGCTTGGGCTTTACCTTGGCATAATCCACCTTTGGCACCCCTTCAACCTGTGCAGAGCCTGAACTTGCACTAGCCCCACCAACTGCTTCTGGCACCCCCCCACTGGCAGAAACAGCACTGGATGCTGGCTGTGTCTCACCTTCACCCTTCCCAAGCCCTTTCTCCTGACTTTGCGACTTTTTCAAATGGCCTTTCTTCACATTTCTGGCTGCAAAAGACATCCTGCCCCTCCCTTTCCCCTGTCCCTTTCCCCTGCCTTTTCCCTTTCCAGCCTTAGCCTTGGGCTTCTTATTGGACTGGACCGGCTCTTCTGCCTTCTCCTTCTTCTGCTTTTTCTTCCCCACCTCCTTCCTGATCTTCTTGATTTCCTGGAAGTTGGCCTCATCCTCTTCCAATGCATCTAAGACCTCATCATCCAGATCTGCTTCAGCAGCCTGTGCTTCAGGCACCTCAGGAATTTTGGCAATTGCCTTCTGCTGCTCCTCAGCATCTGTCAGGCACCTTTCAATAAGCAAGATTTGCAGCTGCCTTTTCTTCAAGTTCTTGGCAAAGGCCACACCCAGTTCCTGAAGCAAGTGCTTGATCTGCTTCACTGTGATGTGCGCACCCTCCTTGCAAACTGCCATTGGTAGGGTCACAGGGTTACCCACTCTGACCCACCCCATGGGGCCAACCCCAGGATTCAGCAACTGTGGTTCACAAGGCACCACAACCCAATCATTCAAATCAAAAATGTGGTACCAGCCCAAAGAAGCCCTTGTGCTGTTCATGAAGTACATGGCTTTCCCATGGTGTCCTTTCTGGACATCTAGAAGCCAACCAAGCAGTCCATACTCTGCTGCCTGAAGAACTTTCACCAAAACTCCAGTGCTTTTCTGGGCCACAATTGTTCCTGGCTTCCCAGCCAGCAATGTCACCCACGCTTTCTCCAGGCTTCCAGCTGGCAAACCTGCATCCCAGGCACTGAAAAGCCACTCAGTTGCAGCCTGGATTGGAAACATGCTGGCGGGGCTTGGGGAAGGCCAAGAGTTGGTGACACCCTGCTTAGCCATCATCTTTTGCAGGCTCACTGGAAGCTTGTGGGACCTGGGGTTCATCTTCAAAAGAACTGGTGAAGTGAAGGCAGAAGAAGAGGCAAAGACTTTGTCGGCAGGATTGACAGTGATACTGTTTACATTTCTTTCCTCCAAAGATTTGCTCAATAAGAGCTGATGTTGGATAGCAGTCAGGCTGGGTGCATTGCTTTTGCTCTCTCTCAAAATGTCCTTGCACTTGGAGTGCGCAGTCTCAACCACCCTGCTGTCACCCAAGTTCTTGGCAAGGTGCATTTGCAAAGCACACCCCTGCTCCAAGCCCTGCTCATAAGCCAGGAACAAAGCTCTGACAAAAGGAGACTTCCTCCACACCAAGCTATCCAAAAAGGGCACTGTGCCACCAGCAGCTACAGCACTCTCCACCTCCAGCAAGACCCTCCATTCCTTCTGCACCTGTTGGATAGCCTTGGCTGCCTCTGCAGGATCTGGTGACAGGGTCCCACAGTATCTCATGGGTGGTGTCAAGGCTGCCACTGCCAAGCTGGACCCTCTGACGCACAGCAACTCCTCCAAGAAGTTGGCATGCTCTGCCAGCAAGCCCTTCCTGTCTTCACCTGGCTCCTCATGGAACTGCTGGAAGAGCTCCTCCCTGTCAAAGCACCCATGCCTGACCATGTCCTCAAGCTCCTCTGCCCACTTCCACTGGGTTGAACAAGCCACATTGTACTGGAAGACATCAGAGGGACTCTTGATGGTCCTTGCTCTCAGGGCATGGTGTTTCCAGGTGGCTCTGCACACCTGCATGACCATCCTCTGCAAATCGATGTTCCTCTCAGTGATCAGCAATTGGGCAAGCTTCCACACCCCCTTCTTCTTCTTCAATTCTGCAAGTTCAGCCCTGGGGTCCTTAGAAGCCAGCCCCTCATGGTCAAAGGATGCAGCTGGTTCCTCCTGTTCAGCCTCATACTCTGTGCCAGCTGACATGAGGATCATTTTTGTGGCATACAGCTCACCTTGGTAAAATGCTGCTGACTCAAAAAATGAAAACCAGCGCATGAGCTTCACAAGAGGTCCCTTCTCTGCAAATGACCTCAGTTTCCCCAAAGATTCAAACAGATCTTGTTGCTGGGCCACGTGCTGAGGCTCAGGAATGCCTAGTTCCCTGCAGATGTATGGCAGATGCTCTTGGAAGGTGGTACTGGAAGCAGAGTGCTGGGCAAGAAAGTCCTGCAGGCAGTCGTGCTTCCTCCCAAACCATGTGCCAGATCCAAAGGGACCATAAGGAAGGTTGTAGACCACAGTCATCTCCAGCATGGTCTTGTAGGGGTAGCATCTGGCCCTTCTGGCAGCCAATTTGATGTCGTTCCATGCCCTGTGGAAAGGGTCATATAAACAACAGCACAGGATTGCCTCCTTTGAAAATTGGATGTAATTGAGAGCAGCCATATTGCTAGGCCCCTGGTCAGAGATGCTGACAAGGACAGGAAGCTTTCCCAGCAGCATTCCAGTGGGGATTTGTGGCCTGGCTATGCCTTCCTTCGTATCCACAATGTACCACAAGCCATCCTTCTGAGCTCTGATCTCATTGGGCTTGAGTGGCTCTAGGTGAAGCCCAAGAGGCACATTGAAGTCAGGCAAAGTGAGACCCATGCTTTTCATGGAGTTGGACAAAGCTCTGAGCTCTACATAGCCTTCCACTCTTGTCAATCGACCCTTCTTGCCATCCGCCTTCAGCTCCTGAGACAGATCTCCTACCAGCAGCCTTCTCAAAGGCTGGACCAGCATATAGGCAGCCAAGTCCAGGTCCACACTGTAGATCATTCCAACAAAAGTCTCCATGCCACCATAGCTGGATGGATCCCAGACCACAGAGATCTGGGTGACACCCTGAAAGGCTCCTGAGCAAGCTCTTTCATGGAGCACTGTGGTGAGGTAGGCCTCCTGCTTCATGAGCTTACAATGCTCAGAAATGAGGTTCGCATGTGTTCTGGCTACCCTCCACCTGTGCAGTCTTTCATTTTTCACCCTGTCCAAGACCAGCAGCTTGTTCACCTGGTCTGAAGATTTCCTGGTGAAGCCTCTCTTGCTTTTCAGGACTGGAAGCTCTTGCAAAGGCATGTAGGTCAAAGAGACAGCATAAGCCTCCAACCCTGCAGCTACATAGATCATGAGGTTTGGCAGCACACCTTTCCCAAGGCTCTCCCACAAGGTTTGCCCTCCAGCCTTGAGTTTAGGGTTAGTTGCCAGGTGCAGCATGAAGACTGCCAAGTCTTCAATCTTGGCATTCCCCCAGTGGCTACCCTTTCCAAGCTGACTCTTCCAATTTGTTCCACAATTTCTGGGCTGCAGGGATGTGGTTGACCATGGCAGCCCAGCCACCACACAAGCCATGCTTGTTGACATTGATGTGCCCCACTTTCAAAGAGCCATCTGGTGCACAAATGGTGACAGGTGGAAAGGCAGGGACTTGCCCCAGCTCATGCGCCTTGTTGTTGGCAATGCTTGCTAAGGACACAAACATCTTCAGAGCTTTCTCCTTCTGCTCAGCTTTGAGTGGCTTTGACTTCAGACAAGTCACCAATAAGGACAGCATGGCCCTGCCTTCCAAAGTGTGGTCTTTCCAAGGCTCAGCTGGGGAACCTTCATACCCCTTCGGCTTATAGTGCATCTGCTCCCCTGGCACCTCAAGCAGAGCCATATCAGCAGCCACAGCTGCCTTATTGGTCTGAAGAAAGGAGCCACCATAGCCCCCAATGCCCAAAGCATCTTGGATCCTGGGCCATAGCCACTCTGCATTCCCTTGTTGGTTGAAGTAAGCCCTCAAATTGATGTTGTTATCCTTGATGGTGGCTACTGGGAAAGGTGCCTTGACATCCTTCCCTTGGGGAGGGCCAGCATCCTCAACTTCCACATCAGCCATGGGGACCAGTCAGTGGCCAGTGATGGCAAAGAGGTTGATGTGTTTGGAATTGGGCAATTGGTCAGGTGGACATGGTAGCCTTAAGTCGAGGTGGGGCTCACCCAATGAGGTCAATTTAGTTAAGTTAGTTATTGGAGGTGGCATCCAGGCTGAGCATATGTGATTGCATGGTGCTCCCACAATCATGGGCACCCCCATTACTACAGTAGTGGCATAGTGCAGTGTTGCCTGTGCACTTGTTTGGCTTGAGCCTTGCCTGGGAGAATTATGTATAAGTTTGTATATGTGTATATATATATATATGTGTGTGTATATGTATACCCAAGGACATTTATATGAAGAAAGGAAGGGAGGAAGGAAGGAAAGGAAGGAAAGGAAGGAAAGGAAGGAAAGGAAGGAAAGGAAGGAAAGGAAGGAAAGGAAGGAAAGGAAGGAAAGGAAAGGAAGGAAAGGAAAGGAAGGAAAGGAAGGAAAGGAAAGGAAGGAAAGGAAGGAAAGGAAGGAAAGGAAGGAAAGGAAGGAAAGGAAGGAAAGGAAGGAAAGGAAGGAAAGGAAGGAAAGGAAAGAAAGGAAGGAAAGGAAAGGAAGGAAAGGAAGGAAAGGAAAGGAAAGGAAAGGAAGGAAAGGAAGGAAAGGAAGGAAAGGAAGGAAAGGAAAGGAAGGAAAGGAAGGAAAGGAAGGAAAAGAAGGAAAGAGAAGGAAGGAGGGAAGGAGGGCCTGAGGGAAGGAGGGAAGGAGGGAAGGATGGAAGGAGGGAAGGAGGGAAGGGGGGCCTGAGGGAAGGAGGGTAGGAGGGTATATCTAAGTATATATCTATATGTGTGTGATTAGCTTGCCTTTAGGTAGGAGCATGGCTGCCAGCTGGCTCACCCCCAGTCAAGCCTGATTCTTGAGCACAGGATTAAGGATGGCTTGTTCAAAAACCTTGGCTGGTGGTGAAGTGCACTTTTGGCCATGCCTTTGCTCTGCATAAACATGTGTTCCTTTGCTGTGTGTGTATGTGCAAACCCTTCTTAGTGTTGGGCCAGCCCTGTGTACCTCCAGACTTTGCACAAGTAAGTTTAAACACCAGGCTCAGAAACTAGCATTGGTACATATGACCACAAGCCCAAAGCCTAATCTTACCTGAACCCAACCCAATAAATACAATACACATTAAGCTACATCATTTCCCACTAGTTTTGACCCACAACAGCAAGGCCAAGTGCCAACATCTCAGTCAAGGGGGTGGCTCCCAAACCTAAATGGCACAGGATTTCATACATGTGTGTGTGTGTGTCTTCTTACCTTTCATTCCTGAGTATGTGTGCACAGCTGCTGCAACATATGTGCATACACAAACAAATTAATTACACATATGTGCTTCTGTGTATTTCAATGCCAATCATGCATTTATATGTTCACACTGGCTATGCTGTTGGCACTCCCACCCACCACCCTGGTAATTGGCCAGGTAGCTGGGCTGTGTTGGCCAAAATTGCCTGGTGATGTCCATGGCGACCAGGTCATACCACTTCCTGACAGGCACTGGTCAATGAAATGGTTGTGGTTCCTGATGTTGGCACATTCCACTTCAGGTTTCTTCTCATGACTTTATCTCTCTGGTTGCAACTTCTACACCACACCCCACCTAACCCAACCAAGTCTTAACATGTTGCAGCTGAAGCTCAGTGGAGAAAGCTGCCATCCAACTCAGATGCCTGGCAGCTGCAAGGCTCACCCTCTGGCAAGGCACCAAGCTTCTTGCAGTACCTCAGCAATGGCACAGTCAAGTTCACCATATCCATTTATGTTATGCTATTTCAGTCATGTCATGCCACCCCATCCCCCCCACCATACATACCAAACCCCTCTCACACCATACCACCACCTGCACACCATCCCAGCCAAGCAGCCCTCCACAACGAAGGCACTTGCTGCAGGTGCTGCACAGCTGCATGCTGATCCCACCCATGATGTATCCACTCATCCCTGGCTTTGTGTGGGAGCATCCATGGGGCATGAAGTAGGAGGCATTGAGGCACCTGCACCCAGCGAGAGAGGATGACTTGAACTGGTCTGCCTTCCTCTCAGAGTTCATGATGACCTTTAAGAGGGACCACAGTGCCTTGCTGGTGGGCACCTTTTCTCCTGGGCCCAGCTGCATCTCAGCACACCCTTCAGTGCCTTCTTCCAACATATCAAGGACCCAGCCTGTGCACACTGGGCCAGCATTGACATGGTTGATGGGGTTTTCCACCACAGCCTGCCTATCTGGGGTGCAATCACCTCTGAGCATCAGCATATCCACCTCTTTCTTGGTGAGCCCACTGGTCCTGACCCTCACCTCACATTCAGCCTCCCAGTACTTGTTGTGAGCATTGGCATGCTCCTCCCAACTGTCACTTGACATGCCACCATCTGAGTCTGAGGAGTCACTCTTGCTCTTCCTCCCCAAAGACTTGTCCACCCTCCTCCCATAGTCGAAGTAGGCATGCTGCCTAAGTGGCAATTCTGCAACCCCAACCCCAAGGCAAACACACACACACACACACACTGCAAGACCATCCCCACCATCACCAGGACACCTCCCATGATGTGCAGCCCAAGCAGCTTGGCAGTCTCTTCTGGGTTGCTGTCACTGTCATCAGCAGCTTCCATTATTGGCCTGGGCCAGCTCCAACACCCACCACCAACCCATACCCCAATGGGCCATACCTCTGCATACAGTGCAGACTATGAGATTCATGTCCACATGCAATGCACCTCCTCAATTCGACTCATGGCCTTGCATGCATGTTGAGCCTGGCCTCTTGGTGTTGGGTCTGGCATCTGACATGGCTGGCTATATCTTCAGCACTGTCCTACTTTTGAGCCAGCACTTTGTGGTCTCCATAGCTCTTTGTCACCCTAGTCCCCTGGTGCCAATTTCTATGCCACCATAAGCCAAACTACACACACCTACCAACACCTACCCCAAACTAAAAACAACTACCAACCACTAAAAACACCTAAAAAAAACTAAAAAAAACTAAAAAAACTAAAAACTTCTAAAAATGTTCTTTCCCTGTGGTGGCTCCCAAAAAAATATCCATTGTAAACAGAACTCTGCCCAATTTTTTATTTTACTGTTTCACCTTGGGCTCATTCCCAAGGGGGTTCATATACTTTTAACACATGCCAACTTCTAAAAATGTTCCTTGCCCCTGATGGCCCCAAACACTACACCCATTGTAAAACAACATTGTGGTCAGTTTGCTATTTTACTGTTTCATCTTGGACTCATGTCTCAGGGATTTCACATACTTGCAATACCTACTAGTTTCTAAACATGTTCTTTGCCCCTGGTGGCTCCCAAACATAACCCCTTGTAAACAGAACTCTGCCCAATGGTTATTTTACTGCTTCATCTTGGGCTCATTCCCAAGGGGGTTCATATACTTTTAACACATGCCAACTTCTAAAAATGTTCCTTGCCCCTAATGGCCCCAATCATTTTACACCCATTGTAAAACAACATTGTGGTCAGTTTGCTATTTTACTGTTTCATCTTGGACTCATGTCTCAGGGATTTCACATACTTGCAATACCTACCAGTTTCTAAACATGTTCTTTGCCCCTGGTGGCTCCCAAACATAAACCCTTGTAAACAGAACTCTGCCCAATGGTTATTTTACTGCTTCATCTTGGGCTCATTCCCAAGGGGGTTCATATACTTTTAACACATGCCAACTTCTAAAAATGTTCCTTGCCCCTGATGGCCCCAATCATTTTACACCCATTGTAAAACAACATTTTGACCAGTTTACTATTTTACTGTTTCATCTTGGACTCATGTCTCAGGGATTTCACATACTTGCAATACCTAGCAATTTCTAAACATGTTCTTTGCCTCCAGTGGCTCCCAAACATATACCCTTGTAAACAGAATTCTGCCCAATGGTTATTTTACTGTTTCATCTTGGGCTCATTCCCAAGGGGGTTCATATACTTTTAACACATGCCAACTTCTAAAAATGTTCCTTGCCCCTAATGGCCCCAATCATTTTACACCCATTGTAAAACAACATTGTGGTCAGTTTGCTATTTTACTGTTTCATCTTTTCATCTTGGACTCATGTCTCAGGGATTTCACATACTTGCAATACCTAGCAATTACTAAACATGTTCTTTGCCTCCAGTGGCTCCCAAACATATACCCTTGTAAACAGAATTCTGCCCAATATGGTTATTTTACTGTTTCATCTTGGGCTCATTCCCAAGGGGGTTCATATACTTTAAACACATGCCAACTTCTAAACAATTGTTCCTTGCCCCTGATGGCCCCAATCATGTTACACCCATTGTAAAACAACATTTTGATCAGTTTACTATTTTACTGTTTCATCTTGGAATCATGTCTCAGGGATTTCACATACTTGCAATACCTACCAATTTCTAAACATGTTCTTTGCCTCCAGTGGCTCCAAAACATATACCCTTGTAAACAGAATTCTGCCCAATATGGTTATTTTACTGTTTCACCTTGGGCTCATTCCCAAGGGGGTTCATATACTTTTAACACATGCCAACTTCTAAAAATGTTCCTTGCCCCTAATGGCCCCAATCATTTTACACCCATTGTAAAACAACATTGTGGTCAGTTTGCTATTTTACTGTTTCATCTTGGACTCATGTCTCAGGGATTTCACATACTTGCAATACCTACCAGTTTCTAAACATGTTCTTTGCCCCTGGTGGCTCCCAAACATAAACCCTTGTAAACACTGCCATCTTTGTTTTGCACCAGGTTTGCACCAGGAAGGGTATTGGTCATAGAAGTCCATCAAAGTGCCACTCACCTGGAAGAGGCAGCTGTGCAGCAACAATGGGTGACACGACACAGCCTGACATGATACACCAAACTCCATCATCCAAATCTACATGTACCACCATCATCATCATCACCATCTCCATGATCATCCCCATCATCCTCTCCATCATCAGCACCATCACCACCACCACCACCATCATCATTATTA